TTAATCAGGGAGACATTAAGTGTATGAAGTAATGAGAGGAAAGCGGCACATCATATTCTCGGACAAGGAAAGTTTTTACTGTCGGGCCAATGGTTCCAAATTTGCAAACCAATGCATGTTTAACAAAATTTCTGGGTGGAAGTACTTACAAACATATATATGTCTCAAAGACTTTAATCTGCTGAAAGGGTTAAAGGTTCCATGCGCACAGAATGACTGAATGTAATACGTTCCCAAATCTATCTTCTGCCTAATCTCAACTATGTAAGAAATTCTTGTCCCTTCTGTTAATAATAAAATTTCGTACTCACCTCCTGTCGTGGTTCCAGAAACGTTTAGCATATTCTATTTAAGGCAAATGTTGAAGCAACCGTTTTCTTCGAATATAACAAATCGCAATAGTTGTTCCTTTAGTAATTTTCCAATTTTTTTATTTTATTTTATAAAAACAAATTTAAACAATTAAACTAAAAATCTGAAATAATTAAAAAAAATATATTTTTTTTATTAAACCCATACGCACGCGGTAATATTTTTGATTAATTGCAAAAAAGATTTGTAAAAAACACTGTAATTAAATTTTTGTATTTTATGTAATTAGTTAGTTACTCTAAGGAAAATAAAATCTGAAAAAATGTTTTATTTAAAAAGAATGTTTTTTTTTTTTTATTGTTTTTTAATTTTTAAATTTTTTAATATCTTCCGGATAGAGAACACACTACCAACAGCAACGAGATCTCGTCTCGCACTGAATTCAGAGTCAGTGATTAATTCTTATGCGAAAGATGGCGAAAAAATTAGAGTTTTTCTCGTGTCAGATTTTATTAGATAGATAGATAGATAACATACACAAAACACATAACGATAACGTTGTGTTTATGTTTTTACTGGGTTCGCAGAAGATGAAAACGAAGAAAAAGAAGAAGAATATATAATAGTTAGTTCGCAAACTCACGCATTTTTGTGAGGGCAACTCAATGAAATTTGTGCGCGTATCCTACACAGCTCTAAATAAACATATTTCGTTTAATTTTCACTCTTTTAATGCATCCTGTTGCTTCGCACAGCAGCCTGTTGCTGCTGCCGCTTTATTTGAGTAAGTATTTCTGTTATTCTTTATTGGGGGCGTTGGGTGTTGCACGTTTTACTTAAGAGCTAGGAAACGTAAAAACAAATGAGTTATTTTTGCGCTACATTGCCTTTATTATATATGTTTGTATATATATTTTCTTTTGGTTTTTTTTTTTTTTTAATGTAATAGCAAAGGTTTTCTAATATGTAAATTGAATATAGCAAGAAGAAATTCTTTAGTATTATTATTAAAACATACGTTTACATGGGAATGATGGAAGCATATTGCGATAAGAGGTTTTTTTTAAATAAAAAAAATTTTTTTTTTTCAAATAAATAAATGTCAACGGAATCGATCCATACCTTTTGAAAAAAAAAAGTGCTTCATTAGTTAGCTTTTCATTCGATAAGTGGTTAAACCACGGATCACTTAAATTTCTTTGACTCTGCTCATCTTTTGTAAAACCTTCAGTACATTTTTTTATAACTTAATTATTACTTAAAAGAGATTTTCGTTAACTTGGAAATTAAAAAGATCTTAGAAATTTAGGATCTTGCTTTCAATAATTTCATTTCTTCATTATCCCTATGATACATGATGTCTTATGCATGTGCAAGTCTATACCTCAATGCCATTTGCAAAGTGCGCTATTGTTTGCCTACGGCTTAGATTACACCAATCCCTCGCAACATTGAACTGAATGGTGGAATTTGTTAAGTTGAAAATTCGCGGGAAACTGAAGACAGTCGAACGATCTAAAAAAAAATTTAACAATTTGAAATTTTTAATTAATCCTATGATGGAAACGTAATTACTTTTTCCAGGATTATATGTTCATCAAAATTAATTTTGCTGAAACGCAAAGTACTAACAATTTTTTTTTAACATCGTAAGTCGATCTTATCGAGATATCAACCCACAAGGTTATAGGCAATCTATAGAATTAAACTACGAATGTGTACGGCCTGTCTCAATTCTCTATTTCCACTAAGGCGGCATTCTAAAGGTAAATTGCCCTTAAAAGCATTTCAAAATCGGAAGCTAAAGAAGAATACGGACGTATTGTTTCTGAACAGAACTTGACTTTCTAAAATGATGTTCATTGGCTAATGGGTGAAGTTAGGTCATCGATATATGCCGGGCATTACATAAGAGTCTTTTAATTACGATAAGTGCCAGCAAGTTACAATTAACCCCATATAGTAGCAATTTCTTTAGAATCTAATCCCTACGATTCTAAATGCATAACGCATGAATGAATTCTAGTCCATTCGATTTCATATAAATGAAAAAAATCCTGTGCATCCTGCCTTTATGGATTTCTTACGACTTCCAACTAAACCATTTAGCTACGTAGTCTAACGTCTTTGTCGGCCAGCTTAGTATTCCAATTTGGTTCAATAAAAAAGCATTCTGTCTGTCCCGTCGATAAATCAGAGAGAAACTGCCGACAATGTGATACGTAATAGTAACCTAGTAGCAAGATTGATTTGCATTACAATATGTTATAAAGGGAACATAACCTATGTGTGAAACCAAAACAAACTTATGATTTTAGCCGTTATAGTAGCAGCGCCTTTGGCAGAGTTAAAGTACGGGTTTGCTTTGATGTGAGACTTGCCAAGCCCCTTCCTAAGCGTAAATTACATTCATTAGTGTTCATGCTCACCTTTTTCCCTATGATATTCTTTCTAAGATAGAATAGGAAAAAGGATTAATGCAGCCTTGGAAATTGTTCAAGTTATTTCTAGGAAAGAAAAATTCAGGATTGTATCTAGTACACCAGCATGTGAGCCTCGTGAGCATATATTTTTTACAATTACTGTGCGACACTAAAGAAATATCAAACGCCCGTCATGTTAAGGTTCCGAGCACAGGGAAGTCTTAACTGAAAATCAAAAATAGTCTGAACTATTTAACTTGACATGCATATATAAATTAGGGAGCCCTCTTTAGAGATTTGATTAAATTCAAAACATTAAAAAAATACTCCCTGAGAAGCTACGAAAGTTGGTTGTTGTGTTAGTTTGTCTCTGATTTTTGATTGATCAAACCAATGTGATGATTTTAGCTCGTCGTCTAGTCACACTAGTTCAAGTAAGTTTATTCCCAATATATTTTAAATTGAACTATCATGAGATGGTAAAAATTCTTAATGAAAGCCACACTTAGTAATGAACATTTTCTTTTGCTTATTTGTCGGCTGAAAATATGTAGGATTCGCTTACCAAGAAACTTCTAAAGATCGACTATTGTCCTTACGATAAAATTAAATTATTTTATTATTGATATTTTTTTTTTTTCTTTCATTATTAGTTTTATATATGTATTATAGGGATTGATTGGGTACAGAACTATCATAATTTTAAACAAAGATTTCCTCTCAAACCAATGTACTTAGGTCGAAATGTATTATAAGCAAAAGTACTCACTCAGCAACGATTACACTCGAAATTTCACGCACTTGTTGATGATGTCAATTGCACAGCGTAAGCAACAAGTGTTATATCATAAATTTACTCTTTATTGCTTTTTAAATGTAAAAAAAGCAATCAAAATGAATACGAAGTTTAAATATAAGTTCGCTTAAGAAATTTTGAACAAAGCAAAAAAAAAGAAAAGAAATCCACGACATTTATACAAAAGCTTCGAAATGTAATGCGTAGGCGCATATCTCCTATTTGTTATTGTCTGATGCTATGAAATATTGCTTTGAAATTTCTTTCAACTCTGTGATCGTCGAATAAAGCGCTTCTAGAGGGAAAATGTTTTATTTATTTTAACCTCATTACTTCTTTTTATTTTCGCTTATTATTATTAATTTGTTAGTTTAGTAACTCGTTTATGTCGCTTTAGCAGATGATAAATAATGTCTTTCTTGTGTTGATTAGTTAAATACAAATTTTTTTTTTTTTGTTTTGGTTAAATTTTAGATTAACACAAATAATCAATTTCTTAAACTAATATATAATTCAGTTTTCAGTTTTGTTCTTTCAATAGACATTTTTCGATTAACAACAAAATTTGGGAACATAAGCATGGATTGCCTTTTGCAATAAATTCAAATAAATCTGCAATTCCATAGAGGAATAAACTTAATAAGCTTAACTAAATTAGACAGAAAAATGAATTATAATTCCATGTAAATTTGCTTGATATATGAATAGAAAAGACACTAAATAAATATTATGATAATTAATGGGTGATTAATGGGCTGTTCAGACATCGACCATCGAAACGATTCCTCATTAGTTAAGCTGCAGAAAGCTACTTTATGCCGGGGCCGGTTTATAGCTGCCGATATCGACTTAACTCAATCGTGTTATCGATTCGTTGCAACGAGTAATGCTCCCTTACACCAACGAATGAAGATTGATGTCGAGTGACGTATCCATATTACGATCGAGTTTCCTTGATGTATCTGTAATCTAGCTAACAATCCAGCAATCTATTTACCTACTTGCTTTTATCCACTTGCTTGGTGAAGCTCGGCTGTAGTAGAATGCTGCTCGGTGCAGTTCGCGTGTAGTAGAATGCTACAGTCATTCCCGATTCAATTATATTTTCCCCTGCAGAGACGCTAGGGTAGTAATAGACGTAAACAAAAACCAGAAGTAATAAAGTCAGAATTATGGAACTGGGTTCGCAGAAGCGTACATACGTAGATCACTATTCATATTTTTACCTTTGACAACTTAAAATCTTGTTAGGTGTCATTTAAAATTCTACATTGGACCTAATAATGATAATAATGATAATAGTAATAATAATAAGCTGCTCTCATCATTTTTCTTTATATTGCGGCGGAAATTTTTTCTAATCGTGAGATTTTATTAGATGCTTGCATGTATTTTCATCAAATTTTGGTACAACATAAATAAAATAAATATATTAAACGAAATATTTTCCGTCATTTTCTACAACTTCTCCTCATCTTTCTTGCGACATGGCGATACCTTATCGAAAGAAGGATATTGGTTTGACAGCGAGACCGCATGCCAGCCAAGCTGTGCTGCATCCACCTGAACAAGTAGTAAGCAGAAGGCGGTACGTTTGGTGAGTACGCTAGGTGCGGCAGAATTTCCCATTCGAGCTGTCACAGTTTACCCTTGACAACTCCTACAACGTTTGGCCGAGCGTTGCAATGCACGAAGATGACTTCGCCTCTGTTAACCCCTGTTGTTAGTTTTTTTTTTTTGCAACAATACATCGCTCAATTTGTTCAACTGACGGCGGTACACATCTGCTGTAACAACTTCATGCCATTTTAGCAGCTTTGGTCATACACTGCACCTCGCTAACTCGCCTATATGTCCAATAAGGTTTTGTGACCATCAATATTCCGCTTCGGTGTCAATGTGGAGGGCTTTCCTGAACTAACCTCTAACTTTTTGCG